GAGAGGAGAGGAGAGGAGAGGAGAGGAGAAGAGAGAGAAGAGAAGGAAGAGAAGAGAAGAGAAGAAAACAGGACAGAGGAGAGATGAGAAAAGAGAGCGGAGAGGAGAAGACTCAGAGGAGAGAACAGGAGAGGAGGAGAGGAGAAGAGAAGAGAAGAGAAGAGAAGAGAAGAGAAGACGAGAAGACAAGAGAAGAGAAAAGAGAAGGGGAGAAAAAAGAAGAGGAGAAAAGAGAAGAGGAGAGAAGAGAAGTAAGGAAAGAGAAGAGAAGAGGACAGAAGAGAAGACAAGAGGAGAGTGGAGAGATGAGAAGAGGAGAGGAGAGGAGAGGGGCGAGGAGAGAGGATAGGATAGGATAGGATAGGATAGGATAGGAGAGGAGAGGAGAGGAGAGGAGAGGAGAGGAGAGGAGAAGAGAAGAGAAGAGAAGAGAAGAGAAGAGAAGAGAGGAGAAGAGAGGAGAAGCGAGGAGAAGAGAGAAGAGACGAGAAGAGACGAGAAGAGACAGGAGAGGAGAAGACAAAAAGGAGAGGAGACGAGAGGAGAGGAGAGGAGAGGAGAGGAGAGGAGAGGAGAAGAGAGCAAAAGAGAGGAGAAGAGGAGGAGAGGAGAGGAGAGGAGAAGAGAGGAGAAGAGAAGAGGAGAGGAGAGGATAGGATAGGCGAAGGGAGGAGAGGAGAGGAGAGGATAGGATAGGCGAAGGGAGGAGAGGAGAGGAGAGGAGAGATTCCTCCTCCTCCTCCTCCTCCTCCTCCTCCTCCTCATCCTTCTTCTTCTTCTTCGTTTTCTTCTTCTTTTCCTTCTCCGGAGGAGGGGGGGGGGGAGAGAGGAGGAGAGGGGGAGGGGAGGAGAGGAGAGGCGAGGAGAAGAGGCGAGGAAAAGAGAAGAGAAGAGACGACTGCATGGCTCATAAAGTCTGACCATGAGAATCGAGCAACATCATACACCAATCAAGAGCAATCCAATAAAGAGCAACCCAATACACATGCAAGTGACAAAGAATTGAACAATAGTGATGCATAAGATTTAAGCCAAATGTCGTTTGGTACATCCATTAAAATTGGAACGATACAGAGAAGATTAGCATGGCCCCTGCACGAGGATGACACACATAAATCGAAAAATGCTGTTAAATGGTACAAATTAATTATCAGGGGGGGKGGGGGGGGGGGAGGGGAGATTTAGACCAAATAGTCCCCACCACATCCAGTGCAAAAGCCCATCCACCATCACCAATCTTTGCAGCCGGTTCTCTAAGGATAGCTGGAGCCGTTGAACAATTTTATCGGCAAAAAAAAAGAAAGAAGATATGCTAACCTTGCTGCCCCAGCCTCTGCTTCTGCTTCACTCCCACCTCTTGTGGCTTGTTATCTAGAAGACAGGGATGGGTTCCCATCTTAATTGTTGTGGGTGAGCCTCTTGGACCTTCCGCTTGGAAATTGAGATGGATCCGTTATCAAACCTCTCCTCTCTTCTAAAGATTTCGGAAGCAGGCGAGGGGTCTTGAAGCCAATGATTCACAGCAGACGTGTGTGAGCACGATTCGTGACGAGACTAATAATAGCTATTGGTGTCGGCGAAGACGAAGTCAAGTTTCTTCGAACGTGATGTACTATTTTGAGTGCTATTGTGCATCTGACTATATGTGTGCTTGATTACTCAAGTGTACATCTCATCATTCTACAGTTCAACCAGCCGAAAGCACGTGTGAACCAGCTCGGAAATGATGGCTGAGCGTGTGTGAGCACGATTCGTGGCGAGACTAATAGCTATTGGTGTTGGGGGATTCATTTTCCTTCATCAAATTCGGGATACCTGAACCAGATGTAAGAGGGACGCTGGACCCGGTTTCCAGCAGGTGAAGCTCCCCACCAATAGATGGAGCCTCCACTGGGGTGATAGTGGTGCCTGCTCTTACCAGCATCACTATCACCCGTGAGGGATAATTGAAAAAAATAAAAATAAAAAAAAATTCGTCGAACATGATGTACTTTTTTGTGAGTGCTATTGTGTATCTGAGGATACGTGTGCTTGATTGTTTAAGTGTATATCCCATCAGCATGGCTACAATCTGGACGTCCGGACCGCCGTCCAGACGGTCTGGATTCAGTCCGGACTCCAGACGTCCGGTCTGGAAGGTCCGGATCTGCCAAAATTTGAGGGGGGAAAACAAAAAAAAAAACGGTCCAGGACCCTTCCCCATTGAGGAGCCAAGCCCCCAAAATTGTTTTGGGGGGTTTTCAGGCCCGTTTATGCTTTTTTGGGGGGTCCGGACATGCTCTCTCTCTATAATAATTTATTAGACAACCCCAATTTTTTAATTATTAATAATTCATTACCTTTTATTAGTTTTTAAAGTCTTTTTTAAAGCTTTTTTCATAGTTTTTGACTTGTAAGTTGTAACTCAAGCTTGGTTGGAAATTCTGACACGACTCTGAGGCAAAAGTGGTTTGCATTCTTATTCTGCATAGCGTACTTTTTTTTTCAGATTTTTTTTTTTTTAATGGTCCGGACATTTCCGGACCTGTCCAGACATCCAGACCGTCCGGAACCCCCCATGTCCGGAGGTCCGGAAATGTCCGGAATTCTGGACATCCGGAAACTACCGGACACGGGTCCGGTTCCATGTCCGGAAATGTCCGGGTCCGGGTCCGGTGTAGCCATGCTCATCAGTCAACAGTTCAACCAGCTGAAAGCATGTGTGAACCAGCTCAGAAATGATGGCTGAGCGTGTGTGAGTACGACTTGTGACGAGACTAATAGCTATTGGTGTTGGAGAGACCTAAGTCGAGTTTCATCATGAGTGCTATTATGTAGCTGAGCATACGTGTGTTTGATTGTTCAAGTGCATATCTCATCATTCTACAGTTGAACCTGCTGAAAGCACGTGTGAACCAGCTTGGAAATGATGGCTGAGCGCGTGCGAGCACGATTCGTGACAAGACTTATAGCTATTGGTGTTGGAGAGGATATGATGTAGTTTTTCGAGTGCTATTTTGTATCTGAGTATAAATGCCATCAGACTCGTTCTCAAACACACCTTTCATGCATGTAAACAGCAACGCAGCATACTGGCGACATGCGCCCACTCAAAACTCAGAGATATGGCTTTCAGACACGAGTTCACTCTCAAATGGCTATGGCGACTTCAGCGCCCAAACATCTCACTGTTCACATACACTGGATCACCATGGATATCCCACACACATCACTCTAACACTCGAGCACACACACACACTCACTACTAAATACAGCTATGGCAGCTATGGCTGCCTCTAACCTATCGCTATGCTAACTACTCCTCTCTTGCCCACTGCGTCTTCCGGGCTCATCTGCAGACCTCCTTGCACAAGTCGCTGTGGCAGCGCTTCCGCATGGCTCACGCAGSAATGAATGAATGGCTGGGCGCTGCCTCTTGATTTATACTTCAGAAACCCGTTGGTCTGCCCTTCGCCATCGGCCCTTGGTGCTCATAGTCCCCCTGTGGTACTTGCTGGACCGGACTGGGACTGACTGGACCTTCCGCTGACTGACTGTGGATTCACCGCTATCCTACCGACGTTGTACTGCTGTTGCACTGCGGTTTAGTCCACCACTTGCCTCACCACTTGACCACTTGCCCACTTGCCTACCTTCTAGAAGGTCTACAGCTAAGCTTCCGGAACTCACTAAGACTCCTACGCTATAGACCTACAAATCAAACCCCTGATGCCTATGGACTTACGACAGGCCTACCAGCTGCCTACGAATACACAGGTCACAGGTTCAATTCCCGGGGTCTACACAGATACTGTACATAGGTAGGGTGAGGTCTAGGGATCGAACCCTGGGTACTGCATCCGCTACTGCTAAAAGGTGAAAACCGTTTCACATGAGCTTGATTGTTCAAAATTCAAATGTATATCAACCTAGCTAAGTTGGTACACCCATGAACTATTGAAACACACCGAAGTTCGAATCTAGATGAAAAGAGACAAGTGAAAGCAACTCCGAACTAAACTG